CACTCTAACTAGGTATACAATACAATTCGCAACAAGTATGTGGTCACTGGGCTCATAATATTGGCAAAGCTACTGACAAGAAGAAAACATGCGACTCATATTTCGATGCGACATTGGCTCTTCGAAGTGTAGCAAGAAGTAAACAAAAGTGGGAGAGAAGCAGCAGCAGCAAGAAGAAAGGCAGCAGTAGGAAGTGCAGAAGTTTCCATAACCCAGACATCAGATCTGATTTCTGGTGTATGGTTGTCGTAGATTAGATTTAATGTGATAAGGGAGTGAATGATGTTTGTATGGAAGCATGAGTGTGTCGCGTGCGTATGGAAAACAATGTGTGTATGGCTCAATGTTTGTACTGAGTGAACAGTGTGACCTAGGTGTTGTTTACATATATGTATAGTTGAGAGTGAGAAAGCGCGTTATGCTGTTTGAAAGTGAGACGTATGTCGTGTGTGTCGATAGAGAGCGAATAGAGACGAACGGAGAGAGTGTGCCAAATAATAGAAGAAAGAATATATATACATATATTCGTTTAGTTATTATTATCGTTGATCGTGTTAAGTTTTCGTTTATTAAATACAATAATTGTTATCGTCACCATTTACTCGCACGATTTAAGATTCCAAATGAAAATATTCATTTCTATTTCGAAAAGGTAAATTCATGTTGAAATTGAAGATAAAATTTTCTTAAAAAAAAGTAAGGAGAAAGTAAAATAGATTTAGATTCAAATTAAGAAGAGAACTAAAATTTGATTTCAGGAGAAAGTAGAATAAATTTAAATTAAAATTGAAAAGAAAAGAAAATTCGTTTAAATTGGGATAAGGTAACCTAAGTTGAAGTCAACGTTGCAAAAACAAACGTATGCAAAAACCATTGCAAAAACAAAACGTATGCGAAAATAAAAAAAAATTTAAACAAAAGGGGAACATATATTTATAAAAATCGCCAGAGGTCAGTAATGGCCCACCCTTGATCAGGCTACTGCTGTAAAAGGATCCCATAAAACCCCAACGGCTTCCGCCGGCGAACGAGCCGCAAGCAACAGTAAATAGCTCTGAGCCGAACAGGTAAGCGAAAGATACCCCTACCATTGACTTCGACGAACGTTGATCGCATGATCGATGACGATTGATAATTTCGATTATTTCTAATTATTTAATGTTCGTGATCATTTATTTTGCAATGATGCTATCCAGTGCTCGCAAGACAACCTTGTTATTTAAATTGTTTATGTATATACATATTAAATTATATTATATTATATTATATTATATTATATTATATTATATTATATTATATTATATATATATATATATATATATATATATATTATTATATATATTAGAAAAGCAACGACTTCATACCGACGCATATAACACTTTTAGTTATATGCGTTTAGTTTTGGCGTGGGGAAGATTATCCATCGTAGAAAACTTTCTCTGCCGCGAAAAGGCATAATATGGGCGGCCGAACTCGAATGCAGGCAATAAAATTGAAGAATGCCAGAGCTTCGGCCGTCACGGACGATATCTACGGTCGTTTTAGCTACAGATGCGTTCTTTGGAAACGACCTGAATAAAAACATCGAATAACGAATAAAAGAAAAACGCACAAATGAAAATTTTATTCGATGCTACGAATAGGAAAAAGTATTTTCATTCATCGGATAAAGAAGGAGCAGAAAGGAAAGACAAACTGTTGAAGACATCGTTCGGGGACATTAAATAGCTTCTATATGTTGGTTTAATTTAGTCTAGAAAGGGGAACTGGCAGCTTGGATATTTTTAAATTTCATGAAATGTGAAAGAGAGCAAATAAAACTAATTGCAGGACAATAATGAGCGAGGAAGAAGCAGTTATTTAAGACATTGTTCAATGAAAGAGGGGGGTGGTGACAATCGTTGAGTCGGTATAACCTGTAGCTGTCACGAACATTATTTTGGAAGCAATTAAAACTAAGATAGAAGTTAAGAATGATTATTTTTTACAAATT